ATTTGCCTAAATAGTCCTTTATTGATGACATCTTGGAAACTAAACTTCTACTGTTTATGTGTATGATTGATAATGAATCATTGTTAGTTAACCCACTATTTAGCTGATCTTCTGCATAATAATCACTATTTATTTTTAACTCAAATAAACTTTCGTCTATTTTACTGTCAAGTTCATATATTTTCTCATGGGAATCCATTTATTCTTTATGAATTCATTTGTACTTCCATATCCATTGTTAAACTGTTTCCACTATCCATTATTTAGTCAGTGCTACACAATAAATCATCTTTTACCTGCAACACTTCCAGATCTTTCAACTCTTTGATCATTTTTGCATTTAGACCTTCTTGCTCTCTAATCCATACAACACCATTTCTCGTCCACGTGGCTGTGATTTTTGTTTTCTCAGCACCCTTGCTTCTTTGGCTATTGTTTCATTCTTTTTCGTCAGGTGTTCATTTATGTACACATTTGTACCTTTCAGTTTTTTTGCTTGCCTCAACAACTCATTTCTGTACTTCCTACTGGTAAATCGCACTGTGAAGACTGGTTTTAATTTGTCTGCCTTTCTCAGAAGGGTATGACAGATTGATATTGCATCACTGGATATGAATGTTCTTACTGTGCAAGAAGCTCAACACTTGTTGTTCTAGTGACTGGAGTTCTTCCTGTGGAGCATCCTCAGTTGTGTTTCTATCTCCAGTAACTCTGGCATAAGTCCTATGTCTTGTTTCCAAACCAGTTATCACCAAGTCATCCCTTCTGGTATACTGCTCCAGTTCATCCACCCTCTGTTCCAATACCATAATCTTCTTGTCCTTTTCTGCAAGCTTGAATTTCAGTGTCTTAACCTCATCCATTAATGACAGTAGTTGATCCTGTTGTACTGTTAGCTTAGACAGCTCGGCTGACATAAAATTCAATGATTTTTTAATTTCCTCCATATCTTCCTCAAGTTTCTCCGTTTTTCTAGGAGGGGCCATTGTATTAGGCTTACCTCTCTCTCAGTCCTGGTTGCCAGTGAATCTGGAGCCTGGAGCCCCAGGCTGAGCCTGATGGTTGGATCAGGTGGCTGGTATTGAGGTGATGGTGGAGCCTGGCTGCTGGGCCTGGAGACTGCTGGTGAGCCTGGCTGCTGGGCCTGGAGGCTGATGGTGAGCCTGGCTGCTGGGCCTGGAGGCTGCTGGTGAGCCTGGCTGCTGGGCCTGGAGGCTGACGGTGGAGCTTGGTTGATGAGCCTAGAGACTGATGGTGGAGCCTGGCTGCTGGGAGTGGAGGCTGCTGGTGTAGGCAGGCTGCTGTGCCTGGAGGCGGATCCTGGCTGCTGGGCCTGGAGGCTGCTGGTGACCCTGGCTGCTGGGCGTGGAGGCTGCTGGTGACCCTGTTTGCTGGGCGTGGAGGCTGCTGGTGAGCCTGTTTGCTGGGCGTGGAGGCTGCTGGTGAGCCTGGCTGCTGGGAGTGGAGGCTGCTGGTGACCCTGTTTGCTGGGCGTGGAGGCTGCTGGTGAGCCTGTTTGCTGGGCGTGGAGGCTGCTGGTGAGCCTGGCTGCTGGGCGTGGAGGCTGCTGGTGAGCCTGTTTGCTGGGCGTGGTGGCTGCTGGTGAGCCTGTTTGCTGGGCGTGGAGGCTGCTGGTGAGCCTGTTTGCTGGGCGTGGAGGCTGCTGGTGAGCCTGTTTGCTGGGCGTGGAGGCTGCTGGTGAGCCTGGCTGCTGGGAGTGGAGGCTGCTGGTGAGCCTGGCTGCTGGGCCTGGAGGCTGCTGGTAACTTAAGAAAAGCTCATTCAAAAATACTAAATTATCTAAATAATAATCAAATATTGCCACAAAAGACCAACATTTATCTGTTGCTGTTGGCTTAATTCTGTGCTGGAGAGCAAGCGGGAGCCACCTTAATGGCTTACTGCCTAATTTTTGCTTTTGAAAACCAAGTTCATCGAGCCGGGTTGAGTTTGTTTCCAGCTGAGACTCCAGAGTAGCCAATCTGGAACCAGCCTCTTTGAAATATCTCTCTGACATACAGTCAAAACCTTGCTGACATGGCTAGACTCCTCCCACCGACGCTAGAACTGAGACAAAATGATCTGTAACACTGTAGGATTTGAGGTTTGTACCTCAGGAATGAAATGTGTGTTTTGAGAGTTTTATTTCAAACTTGTACATTGATTTTTTTATTTTGGAAGTCTGCTAGGTAAAAACCGAAAGTTTCATGTTTCTGAATGAATGTTTGATGTTACAAAATGAGTAGTAAATGTACAAAATAAAAAATACATGTACAAAATGAAATTTTCCTGTTACAAAACAAGAAATACAAATACAAATTCAGTGTTACAAGTTAGAAAACTAAAGTTACAAGTTACGAATCCAAAGTTACGTGTCATGAAACATGTTCCAAGTTACAAAACTTGGTACAAGTTATATTGAATATTGTCCCAATCCTAGCTCCATAAATTTCCTCCTTCCCCTGTCCAGACTGAAGTGACGAGCGCTGCTCATCGTGGCTGCATGCACTGATGTGAGGAGTCCCCAACCCCTACCTCCCCACCTAGTGGACACTTATGTTGTGTTGTCTGAAGTCTGTTGCATTCCTGTCTGAGGTGTTTTTTGCAGAGCAAAGCTGCCCTCATTGTGCAGGGTAACCCTGAAGTGCCTTTTTCTTTCCTCCACCTGAACCAATCCTCATGTAACCTCCTGATCTCTATTACGGTAGCGCGACTCGGGTTGAGTATGACCACAGTCATCAATTCTTGTCATGTGCCTATGTATGTCTGATCCCAGAATTGTGTGTACTGAAACTCTAATTTCTCTCTGGGATTAATAAAGTATCTTTGAATTGAATTGAACATTCATGGACTCAGCCATCTTGGCTCACGACGGGGAAGGCTGTTGTTGGTTTAGCGTCCAGGAAACAGCAGAGAACGTCTCACCTAGTCAAGGCCGGATTAACCATATGGGCAACTGGGCAATTGCCCAGGGCCCACGAACTCTAAAGGGCCCAGGGCAGCAAGGGCACGAGCAAATTACTGTATCTGTAATCTCCCGCTTTATGTTAAACTAGTGTGACCGTACGTCCTGTTTTTCCCGGACACGTCCACTTTTCACTCTCTGTCCAGGACGTCCGGACTGGGGGTGCTTGTATTGATGAAAATGTCCGGCTTTTCATCCAGGAGCAGGGATCGAATAATGGGGAGCTGGATATCCTACACATCCAGGGGAGCCGGAAAAAACGTTTCTACCTATATTACATCATTTATGGACTCTTTTGAGCAGAGAGCACAGAGAGCGGCAGAGCGATGATTGTTGCTGCTGCGTCCAGCGCACGGTCCATTCTCAAAGTGGCGCAACCAAAAAAAAAACTATAACTAACACACGATTGTTCATGTCCGCACATGTTCTCTACTTTCTGTCTTATTTGTGCCTGAAGCGCTCTGCTACTGCGGAGATCATCACCTGTGCTGCGGTGATTTCACCTCACTGACGCAGCATCGAAACGCGCTCTCCGCTTTGTGGTCAGGAGATCCTTTGACCTGCTCAAAAGTAACTGATGAGGTGAAAAAGAATCCAGGCAGCAGTTTTTCTGGAGAATTAAGAGGAGATGCAGGAAGATGAGAGACAGACAGGACAGGAAAATAGTTAAATAAAAACAAGAAAACAAAGTAAAATGTAGGTAGATTTATCTCCACTACACGCTTTTACCTGTATAAAACAATAAGTTACACACATGTAATATTTATGCATCTGATATAATTCAGATCACCTTCAACACTCAGTCACACACCCAGGGCCGTTTCAAGACATTTTGGGGGCCAAGGCAAAATGACCCCCCACCCCCCTCCCCAGAAGCCTCTGTGTAATCCATACCCTCTCCTGTAGTGTTAGTTATACGGAGTTTATAAAAGCCCCTCAGACATTACTGACATGTTCTAATATTATCAGATGAAAAACTAAATTATCAGACATGCTGTCTCATCGGTTTATTTTATAAACTTGTAAAAAGTAACAAAACCATCTGAAAGCCACTATTTGTGGATTCTCTGAAAGTTTCCATGGAGTGTGTGACAACTTATTTTTTCATTGATCCTATCGTCTAATCTCACAGCTGAAACAAGCACCCTTAATAATCTGTGCACAGGAAGCTTACCGATGCTGTAGTTAAACAAAAGGTATAATAATTTATTATTAATAAAACCTTGTTGCAGCACTAAAGCAGAAAAATTAGATTTTTCAATAAATATGTAAATTATTTACATATGAATTGTTTTAGAGCCCTTTTATTGGCAGAATCTGATATTAATTTAGTTCTTACAAAAAAATGGGTCCCAACATGGTTTGTGTGGCGTTGCCATGGTGTGATGTCATAGGCACAGATCCCCTGTCCTCTTGTTTGGAAATGGAAATATGATCACCCTACATTAAACAAACTGTCCACCCGGGCTTTTGCGCTGCACAGAGACGCTTCGCTGCCTACGACTTTGAACGTCAGTTGAGAGTCAGTCTCATGCAGACTGACCAATGAAGAGAGGGCCTCAAGTTAAGACCCTCTCCTCATTGGTCAGTCCACACAAAGGTTACCTTGAGCGGGTTACGTGTTGTCAGGCATTCAAGTATTGAGTATATTTACTGCATATTACAGTAAAATATTCTGCATGTGACCATATTATGGTGATCCTTGGGTCGTGATGATGGGGCCCTTGAATATTGTTGCCCAGGGTACAACAAAGTGTACAAACGTTGTAGATCAAATAGGATCAGTGGTAGAGTCGTGTTGCTGTTAGCCAATCAGAGAAGAGCTGTCCAACTATCAGGAAGTAAGACCCCAAGCCCACTCGTCTGAAGTTACTTCCTGAAACAGGAGTATGAGCTCGTTTCCACACAACAACTTACACGACATGCATTCCTACTAGAGACCACTGCAAATGTATCGATGAAACGAGTGAATCACACCTTTAAAGACCAACGACAGTCGCGCGTTTCTCTTTAGCACCTGAATCTGACTATCAGAAGGTTTTTTTAAACTTTATTAGGCTTTTTAATTAGCATCTCTAACCTGAACAGAGTCAAAAAGGAAAGCGCTTCATGTCAGATAAACAGTTTCCATCTTCTCCAACCAGAACATCAAGGTCTGAACCACTTATTGGTCTCAAACTTTCAACGACAGAGGCCTTCTAGTTGAAAGGAGCAACACAAGTCCTGTCATCTTATTCTCTAGCCCTGGATGAATAAGAACCTACACACACTAGAAACACACATTGAATTTAATTTGTGCCATTTCCAGGTAAAAGGCCACTCTCTCTCAGCTTTCTGTTGACGGCGGACGTCAGACGAGTGCTGTAGTCCAACAGCCTGCCATCATAAATCAGCGTCTTTGGATTAAGGTTGGCTACTGCTCGGGATCTGCAGAGACACACACAAAGTGTTTCTATGTAAAGGTTAGAATCAGTGAGAACTTTTCAGCAGCTTCTTCTCAAAAGGTTAAGCTGCAACCTTTATGACATCCATACGATAAAGAAGTATGAAGCACCAAAACCAGCTGGTTCCAGAAAGGTGTAAACATTCTCTAACATGATCCTTTCTGAATATAATCGATCACTCTTAGGCGCCACAAGTTAGTAAACAAAAGCGGCGTTGCTTTTGGAGACTCATGAAGCCCGCAGCTTCCTGCCCCGTTACTGAGCGGTGGTGCTGCCGTCGACTCAGTGCTCACACCAGTCAGTCCATGCTGTAGTCAGGCGTTTACCCCACCGCTGGCTGATTCTACCCACGCCAATCAGAGGTTTTCACTAGTAGGTGGGGCAGAGTGAGATAACTTCAGCCGACCAATCAGTCCAAAGGTGGATCCGTTGCATTGGCTCGGCATGAAACGGACTGCAGGGACGAAAAAACCGTTGGCTCAGCACGACCAACGCACGAACAAGGCCGATGTAAATAACACACAAACGCAATAATCAAGACCAGACCGAGCTGACCCACGTGGAAATGCCATATTGACCCTTTGCACGTGACGTCACGCCAATCATGAGACCGCCCCCTTCGCCATGATGGATGGCAAAAAGACAGTTTACACCCGTAGAAACTCCAGTGAAGCTAATCAAAACAAGCCAGTTTGTAGCCTTTTATGGCTTTTATTGAGTTGATTTAACATTAAAATGGTTTTAGCTTGCTGCGTGGTCGGCTGCACTAACAGACAAGGACGTGAACTCAACTCGTTTTTTCTTTTTAATAACTCTGATGGAGACTGAGGACGGAGATGAACTGCAGCGATCAATCAAGCGGACTAGCAGGCCTCAGATTAGCAGCAAACATGTTTTTAGCGGGTAAGATTAACGTTCATTTATTTCACGAGGAAGACAGGGACAGGGACAAATGTGATGTGTTTATGCTAGTTATTGATGATCCTGATGGACGGGTATTTCACCACTCTAGTGTAAAGCGAGACAATTATTAACAATATTATAGCTCCGATGTATGATTACGTGTGTTAAAATGACGTTATTTATTTATTTGTATGAGCGTCGGCGTTCAGAGATCTTCTCATTCCGGTGTGAGAGCAGCAGCTGAACCCGGTACCAGCAACAGAAGCTGGTAGGGATCCGGACTTTTTAACAATCAGCTTTGGTGTAAAGTGAAACGCTGTTTACAACATAAAGTTATAAATCCAGAGGGGTGAATTTAGGCAAAGTCAGCAACATGTTTACATCGGTGAACAGCTGCAGAGAAAACGTAAGCCAACATTGGTAAGCTAGTTAGCATACCGCTAGATGCGCTACTTCTTCTGATAACTGAACTGGGCATGAACTAGTGGAAGGAATGCTGGAGGAGTTTTATTTTTGTTTTGATCGCAAAAACTATTTCAGGCTCTTACTTTTCCCTTTGTTTAGTACTCGTGTTGCTCACTGTTTACATGCTTTTGCCGTCCACCATGGTGGACCCACGTGATTAGGTGACGTCGGCGCAAACGGTCAATAAGAGCCCACATGAGGGGGCCTGGTACCCCACACTCCCAGAATACTCCCCACACGGTTCCTCAAGCACACGGTTAAACTGCTCCAAATCCACAACAAGCCTCCTCTCCAGATCCCCTGAACAGACTTTACCAGGGAGGCTCAGGAGAGCCCAACCCTAACCCTGTGGTCCCCCTTTGGACCACCAATCCGGTCTAATAATCCAGTGGATCAGCTCCTTTAGTTCTTGAAACATCGCTTTCAGCGTGGCTCTACTCCATCATCATCATCATTATTATATTTCTGTATATTGAAGGTCTGCATTGACCCGTTCTCAAAGGTAAATTGAAGGTAAAGTGTTTAAATAAATGCGTCTACTCTATTGTGGAGCGATTTTAAGTTTTCCATACACCTTTAAAGACCAACAACAGTTGCTCGTTTTAAAACAACCAACAAATGGCGTTAAAGTTGAAAGACCACCTACCTCACGTGGTACATGTGAGCCACGTTCCTGTCGACCCAGACGCAGCCTTTAACGGAGTTCAGCGCTCCGTGGACAGTGACCCTGGACACAGCTCGGGGGTTGACGATGATCTTGAAGTTGTTAAATGTGGGTTTGGTAGGTGGAGGCTCTCTGTACAGGTGAGTCAGGATGTTCACACCTGAAATGTTCTTCCACTGGTCCTGTCGGGGAAGAGTCTGGCTCTTTGGAGGCGGCAGCTCAAACTCAACAGGAAACCAGTGGTTCTCAAACTGGTAACACTTGTCAGCACCAAGAGTCTTCTCCAACAGAGGCAACAACTCCAACCATCTGAAGAAAATGTATTTAAGAAGTCAAGAAAATTGCAAGACATGACGCCTTAAACCACTCTGTCCTGTTACGATGTGTCTAAGATCTAATCTGTGACTCTCGGGAAGTTTTCAGCCAACTGTGACAGTTGCAAACTGACAAAAAGCCTACCTGTCGACAGACTGAGGCAGGATGAGCTCGTCCACATCGTGCAGAGCCACGTATCTGGACCGGTACCTGTATCTGTACAGGAAGTCATTGAGAGCAGCAATCTGACCGAAGTAGTGGAGGTCACCAGGGCTTTTGTTGGGGAACGCTCTTCGAGATACGTTCAGATACTTTGATAGAGACCAAGGGATCACCTCAACTAAACCTGATGACAGAAGAGCACAGAGTTTTACCATTTATACCATTTTAGTCTGCTGTGCTTTTTGTTTCAGTTTCTATAAAAAAGAAACTCTAAATAAACTTTAGAACCTCGATCTGCTCTCGACTCAAAGAAAAACCCAAGTTTAAACAGTCCAAAGTTGATGCCAAAGCCATTTCAAGCAGGTCGTCGCCATCTTTGTTTTATCACTAACATCCCACCCACCAACAGAGCGCTGTGATTGGATGTCAGTTAACATGGCAGTCCGTACAGTTTTTATAAATAAATGCGCTGTGATTGGCCAGCCATAATAATGGCCCGGGCTGCGGAGGTTGCAGTGGAGCGTTGCTAGACCAACACGCAAAGCTAATCTATTTTGCTTTGGCAAGCGACGGTCTAGCTGGGAAGCGCCAGAGACCGACGCGTCATGAGCACCAGGTGTTGCAGATCACCCGTGTCTATGCAGCACCACCTTTATTGTTCTGGTCCACAAGAAGGCGCTCCCTAGGGAGCCCGACCGCTTTTGGCCAGGTGAAAAATATGGAGAGGATTTTTCTAAACCACGTTCAAAGGAAGTGAAGAGCAGGACACAATCATCTTCCTGGTCTACTGGTGCCTCTCCCACAGGAGCTTTTGGAGTGGATGTCCACCTGGCTGCTGCAGACTACCTCACCAACACTCTGATGTGGTAGTCTGCAGCATAAGAGGGCAACAACTCTGGATGGACTCAACCTTTTTCTGTGTAGGAGTCCAGAACACGTTGGGTATCAGCGCTGCAGTTGGTCTTGTACAACACAACTCTGTTCACTCCCAGTAGCTGAAGCATCTCCAGACTCTGCACCAGCTGCAAAACATTAAATACAAAACAGGAAATTCAATTCAAAACACTTAAACAGTTAAGAACCAAGATGCCATAAAGGAGCGAGTCTGGGTTTGTTGGTGGTGCTGCTCGCAGGAGGAAACTCTGCAAAACCTAACAGGCCGAATGAAAGAAAAATGCAAAACAATGTGCAGTAAAACAAAGCACAACCCTGAACCCATGGAAGGTCAGAGTGTTTACATGTGTGTTAGTTTAGCTCGATAAAGGAAATGTGATGATACCTGCAGCACGTTGGTGAAATTATACATGGCAGAGAAACAGACGGTGAAGTTGTAACGAAAAGAGTCCGTAACGCTCTTTTGGTTCTGGATCTCCAGAAATCCAGGACCAAGTTGATCCAGTTCTAAAGGAAACAAAGAAACATAAGAAATCATTTTAGATGTCTTTAAGGGTGGTGATACAAAATGTGACACACACACACACACACACACACACACACACACACACACACACACACACACACACACACACACACACACACACACACACACACACACACACACACACACACACACACACACACACACACACACACACACACACACACACACACACACACACACACACACACACACACACACACACACACACACACACACACACACACACACACACACACACACACACACACACACACACACACACACACACACACACACACACACACACACACACACACACACACACACACGTGAAATCAAACCTGCTGTTATGCAAAAAGTCAATCGCATCTTGATGTTCTTCCATTTAACGCACATTTCATTCATAATATCATAAACACAGGCCTATCATTCTTTCAGGTTTTTCTGAATTGTGTGAAATGGCCGAATAAAAAAAAGGAAAAACAAAACGAGTTTGTGGTTTTAAATTTAGTTTGTGTTTTCTGTTCTAAGTACAGTGCTGTAGTGATTATCTTTAGTTTGTTATGTGTGAAATATTTTTGCTATTTAGAATATTTATTATATATTATGTTCATATATTCTTAATATTTAGTTATTGTTTGTTTTCGTATTTTTGATTCTATATATTTTGATACAGTATATGATGTATATTGCTTTACATTCTGACAACTTCATCGTAATTAATGTAAATATGTGCAACTTGAATGTTCAATAGTCGTTCTAATAAAACATGCCTGTTTGTAGAAAACATGCGTGTGTTCGTGCAGGTGGGGTGGTGTGTGTGTGTGTGTGTGTGTGTGTGTGTGTGTTTGGGGGGGGGCTCAAAGGGGGCCTCGCCCGGGGAGTAATTCCATGTAGAACCGCCACTGGCGACAACTAAATCCAGCGTATGACCTTTTTCACGAGTTGGACCAGTGACCCACTGAACTAGGTTAAATGAGTCAATGATCTTTAAAAACTCCTTAACCAAGGATTTGGCCTCACAACATAAATGAATATTAACATCACCAACAATCAAAAACATATCATACTCAAGAGCCACTCCGGCTACAAAATCAGAGAACTCTCTAGTAAAGTTATTGTTCATTTTGGGAGGGCGGTAGATGAGGGCACAAAGCACTGTCGGAGGCAGCGAAGCTCAAAGAGTTGGAGTACAGAAGGTTACGAGGCTGAAGTTAGCTTCCGATTCCAGCTTCCCATTCGGGAAACGGCTAAAGGGCCATTACACCCAGTTTTTCTCTACTCTGATCATCTTTAATCTGCTCTAGCTCAAAAACTACAACAGCCACACGGTTCAAACCTGTTCTAGATTATTCTACAATAATAGCAGATTGCATACAACCTTGTTTGGGATTTGTGAAACCTTTCCCTGATTTGTGAAACTTCAACACATATTGTACTTTTTCGGTGACATGCAGCACAGTTACACAACAGCCACAACTATGCAAAAATTACTTTAATGTTTGCGTGTCTTAATTAAAAACAAGCATAAATATTCAGCCTCAAACTTTTTTTCTCCCACATTCCAGAGAACTTCAGATAATTGAACGTCTCTCCATTTGTTTTCAGTTTCATGAGAAGTTCCGCTTTTTCGCTGCAAAAAAAAAAAAAGAATTTTTCAGGCATTATATATTTCTCCATTCCCAAAGACATACAAAAAATCTTTTTCTTGCAGATATCTTTCAGTGACTCAGATTGTCTTACCTCTCATCCACCTTACCATGCTCATTCTTTCCCACTGCCTCAGTCCTGGTTTCAGAAAGGTGACACTCCGCGCCTTTCAGAGGTGTACGATACATTACGGTAATATGACGGAGTTCCTGTCTGAGAGCCGGCCCGGGAGAAAAAGACTACGCCGTTAGAACAATGGAGGAGCGGAGGAATTGTTTTGGAGGCCTACTTTCAAGATAGTCGGACTATCCATGCTCGTTGACATGTGCTACTATGGGGCATGCGCAGACCGATTTTTTAAGGCTTTTTAAGTTTCACAAATCAGGGAAAGGTTTCACAAATCCCAAACAAGGTTGTATGCCATCTGCTTTTATTTTATAATAATCTAGAACAGGTTTGAACAGTGTGGCTGTTGTTGTTTTTGAGCTAGAGCAGATTTAAGATGGTCAGAGTGGAGAAAAATTGGGTGTAATGGTCCTTTAGCCGTTTCCCAAATGGGAAGCTGGAATCTGAAGCTATCTTCAGCCTCGTCAGAAGGTACCAGGCTGAGGTAGTTTGTGACAACAGTTCCTGTAGAGTCTGTAGCCAACCCTCCACCCCTCCCCGAAGTCTGACGGGTATTCAAAGAAGAGCAGTTTGGAGGAATAAGTTCAGAAAATGGCACAAACTCTCCCTGGATCCACGTTTCACACAAGAACATGATTGATGCGTTTTAAAAAAGTCGTTTAGAATAAAAGTTTTATTTACCAGTTATCTGGAATTGAGCTGACATCTTAATTGTAGAACCCTTTGCATCAGGGCCGGCTTTGCCAACAGGCGACACAGGCGGCCGCCTGGGGCGCCATCTGATGGATAGGGCGCAAAATTAAATTTGTGTTTGTAATATGAAATGCACTCTCTACATACTCAAAATGCCCCTCTGAAATGACATGAAATTAAAACATCAACATTTAAATTCTAATGATCTGGCTGCATGACGAGCTCCCGCTTGGGCCACCGCTCCGATGCATTTGACCGTTAAGGGTGCCGTAGATCACGTGCGTGGGTAGCGCTGTAGGACATCCTGTTGTCGTCGCATTTAAACTTTTGGTATTTTACGATGAAAAGAACACCTAAGCCATCGGGATCAGCATTCCCAAAGCGAAGGAAGGAGGAAGAATAAAAACGGGCCCAAAGCAGAGGTATGTAGACTTTATACATTTGGCAAAGGAACTTTTTGCGTTAGCATTGTAGCTAACTGCCTCTCCTGCCACGCACGGTCCACGGACGGACCCTCGCTAGCTGTTTACATACACAATACAGTATCTCACAACTTTAACCAATTAATTTTACTTTTGAATCGTCGTGTCCAGATGCAGTGAGACAATATCTGCAGCCACACAGGCACCTGTTGACACCACGGGGGCGGGACTGTCTTCTACACCTGTTGAGTCTCACTGTGAAGATGAAGAATGTAAGATTTATTTTGTACCGTTTTTTTCGAGCATGATTGCAGCCTTTTTATGAACTTCGATTCAAGTTTTAAGTGCGCATACAATATGAATATAATATTTGCATATCAGAAGAACGTTAGGTGTGGGTGGAGCAAAATTTCAACTTTGTCCGACACATCGGGCGGGCGGCACCGCCGTGGCTGTGGCGGGGACTCCCCCGCTGCCGCCGGCAACGCGTCGGTGTTTCATTGTTTAATAAATGAAAACCTCAGAGTGCCTCAGATCACCGGTTCTTCTTCCTCATCCTACAATTTATTTGATGCTGAAGAGCACCTGAGAGTGAGACAAACGTTTTTTCAACCATTCCCCATGGATGCGCTCACTTCCACCTGTTTTTGATCATTTTATTCATGTTTTCATAGAACAGATTAAAAAAAGATCAATAAAATAAAAAGTCCAGTAACATTAAAAATAATGAAAAGCATCACTGCACATGGCTGAGGAATACTGAAGGTGAAAGTGGCGCTGTTCTTAATTCATGCATCAGAGGGTTAAGGTGTGTGTGTGTGTGTGTGTGTGTGTGTGTGTGTGTGTGTGTGTGTGTGTGTGTGCGTGTGTGCGTGTGTTTATTTTCTCACAGAAGAAGAACCCAACACCAGCAGACTCGGTGCTCCAATCCAACAGCCTGAATAGACATCATCATCAGCTTCAACAGGTGTGTGTGAACATGTAGGAGCTGCTGGCCCCATGGATCCTGCTGACTGGCCACAGCAGTTGAACAAAATGGGAAGTAGAACTTTCTTTATGATGACACTGATATTTGAGTTTTGCTTTTGATTTTACAGTTTAATGCTGCTTTTGATTTTGCATTCCCCCCCCCCCCCCCCCCCATGACATTTGCCCAACATTTTGAGTTGTTGATTATTGTAATATTCTCAAGTTACTTATCTTTCGTGCTTACATTTATTCTTCAGGCTGTTGACGTTAAAGAGTTGCTGTGGGAATATTTAAAATAAAAAATAGTAACCAAGGAGTAACTGTGGAGTTGCTTTTTCCAATGTGTGGTGGGTGGGTGGATTTGGGTTTGGGTGAGAGGCGTGCGGGCACGGGGGGGCGGGGGCAAATGGGCAGTCTCGCCTTGGGCACCAAATTACCTAGAGCCGGCCCACAGCAACTCTTTAAAGTCAACAGCCTGAAGATTAAATGTAAGCTTGAAAGATAAGTAACCTGAGTGAGAATGTTACAATAACCAACAACTCAAAATGTTGTGCAAATGTCATTGGGGGGGGGGGGGGGGGGGATGCAAAATCAAAAGCAGCATTAAACTGTGCAATCAAAAGCAAAACTCAAATATCAGTGTCATCATAAAGAAAGTTCTACTTCCCAATTTGTTCAACTGCTGTGGCCAGTCAGCAGGATCCATGGGGCCAGCAGCTCCTACATGTTCACACACATCTGTTGAAGCTGATGATGTCTCTTCAGACTGTTGGATTGGAGCACTGAGTCTGCTGGTGTTGGGTTCTTCCTCTGTGAGAACACACACAACACACACACACACACACACACACACACACACACACACACACACACACACACACACACACACACACACACACACACACACACACACACACACACACACACACACACACACACACACACACACACACACACACACACACACACACACACACACACACACACACACACACACACACACACACACACACACACACACACACACACACACACACACACACACACACACACACACACACACACACACACACACACACACACACACACACACACACACACACACACACACACACACACACACACACACACACACACACACACACACACACACACACACACACACACACACACACACACACACACACACACACACACACACACACACACACACACACACACACACACACACACACACACACACACACACACACACACACACACACACACACACACACACACACACACACACACACACACACACACACACACACACACACACACACACACACACACACACACACACACACACACACACACACACACACACACACACACACACACACACGCCAAATCACACTTGTGTGAAATCAAACCTGCTGTTATGCAAAAAGTCAATCGCATCTTGATGTTCTTCCATTTAACGCACATTTCATTCATAATATCATAAACAAATTTATAGTCTACATACCTCTGCTTTGGGCCCGTTTTTATTCTTCCTCCTTCCTTCGCTTTGGGAATGCTGATCCCGATGTCTTAGGTGTTCTTTTCATCGTAAAATACCAAAAGTTTAAACGCGACGACAACAGGATGTCCTACAGCGCTACCCACGCACGTGATCTACGGCACCCTTAACGGTCAAATGCATCGGAGCGGTGGCCCAAGCGGGAGCTCGTCATGCAGCCAGATCATTAGAATTTAAATATTGATGTTTTAATTTCATGTCATTTCAGAGGGGAATTTTGAGTATGTAGAGAGTGCATTTCATATTACAAACATAAATTTAATAAACTTTTTTTTATTTTTTTATTTTGTGCCCTATCCATCAGATGGCGCCCCAGGCGGCCGCCTGTGTCGCCTGTTGGCAAAGCCGGCCCTGCTGGCATTTACGGATGTGGAGAGGAGAATCGTCAAGAACCATTCAATTCAATTCAAGTTTATTTATAAAGCGCCAAATCACGACAAGAGTCGTCTCAAGGCGCTTCACATAAACATTCCAATTCAGGTCAGTTCATTAACCCAATCAGAAATAAGGTTTCCTATATAAGGAACCCAGCAGGTTGCATCAAGTCACTGACTAGTGTCAGTGACTATACAGCAATCCTCATACTAAGCAAGCATAAAGCATAAATAAAATTTGCGGTTGGTTGAAAATGGCCAATCACAAAGCTGCAGCTGTGGCTACAATGTAGCTCATCACCACCAGTGTGTGAATGGGTGAATGACTGATGTTTTGACCAAAGCCAGTTTTACTGTAAACCTCTGCTCTGATAAGGAATTCAGATTGTATTCAGCCGCTCCTGACTTCCGCTGTTTGCATCACAGAAGATCAACAACCTGATGAGATTCCTGCAGAAATGTCCGACAGCTGACTTTTTTCTACTTATGGAGGAAAAGAAAGCAGCTTCCGGAACATCTGGAGCGCTTCAGTACCTTCAGGTTTGGATCCAGCTGAGGTGAGACTGATATTAGTTGGCGTCTCACAGCCTGGAGGAAGGGGACACATGATGTCAGCCGTCCCATAGGGAAAGCCAAAGTGATCTTTATGGAAGTCGATGGCGCCATCGGAGATGAGCAGCTTCCCCCGACAGAGAAGATGGCAGCGAAACGCCGCCTTCTCGCTCCGCAGCGCTATAGAAATCACACGCACCTGGTGCAAGGCAAACACATTCTTATGTTTGTGCTGCAGATTTATGACAAATCCTGACAACTTGTTTTCCAAAAATAAATGTTTAAAAAAACCTAATTGTTGCATCAAAAGATGGAGACAACCTTGTGTTCTCTACCGGTCTGTGTTTTCTTGTTGTTCTGCTTAGATTTTGATTCGAAACAGAAAAACGGGACAACATTTGGAATGCAAGTTATTCTGCAGTTGATCTTACCTTCTTTTTATTGGTCTGGTGCTCCAGATAAGCAGATATCAGCAGGGTTTTTGTGCCTCTGACCCTCACAAGAGATGCTGGTTCTCCTCGCAGAACTGCAGGAAATAAGCTAAATCCATCAAATGTGATTTTCAACCCCTCGCAGCGACCACGCCCTGGTTCTCAGCAGCATTTCCACAGGCTGATAAAAGGTTTGAAGTAGCAGACCTGTACTTCCTGCAGGATGCTTGGCTCGCCCTGGCAGCTCTGGCACCCGAGTGGCGCCTTTGTGAGGAGGCAGTTTCAGAGGCGACACGTTCCAATAAAACCTGAAGAATTGAAACAAAAACAAAAACGTGCATAAATGCGTGAATGTGTAAAACTGGAGAGGGCGATTTGAATTCTGAATGCATCGCTCAAACTAAAACCACCCAAACAAACTCACAGAAATGGTAAAAGCCACCAAAAGAAGATCAAAATGTTTATAACATTTGTAATAAATACAAAACCTGAAAATAAAACTTTTTCATTCATTAATTTGTTTATTTAGGACAGAAGCACTTTCATTTGATGAAATCTAAATCTTATCCTGTTTAGCTAACACAGGGTTACCCCGGCTTTCCACGGGAGCCGTCAGCAGCACGTCATAGCTGCTGATAGGAACCGCTGTGGTCAACAGAACCTTTTCCACTGGAGCCGCCGGCAGCCGTCAGCAGCGCGAGTCGGCCGCGTCTCAGGAGCAGCATGTCGCGGCCTTTACGCGCCGGTTCTATTTTCTACGCGCGACGCCTCTGAAACGGGTCAAGTTCGACATTTTTGGGGAAGGAAAGACAGGAAATTGGATGCGGAAACGGAGCGAAGCTCCCGAGATTTTCAGAATAAAGAACGTACTGCCTTCCGGTTGCTTTACTTTTAAAAAAAGGTTACTAACTGTGCGTCCCCGTGAGAAGTTATCAGCTAGCTAGCGGTCTCCTTTGTTTTTCAGGTTCGTATTGGCGATTATAAAACGGACAGAACATAAAACACAAACCATGTTGTAGTTTTCTCCTGCTTGTTGTTGTGTTTACTGACGAAGTCACTCGTGTGACTTCGTGCTCGGTCGGTGACAGCTGCTCCCCTGCTGCTTCGCGTCTCGTGGGAAGGGCCAAGCAGCAGTTTACGCGAGCAAGACGTGCTGCTGCAGTAACGTGCTGCCGACGGCTCTGGTGGAAACCCGGGGTTACACTCTAACCCACCGCTAATGCTAACAGTTAGCTTCTACTAGCAGAGACGTTCTCTGCTGTTTCCTGGACGCCAAACCAACAACAGCCTTCCCCGTCGTGAGTCCAGATGGGTGAGTCCATGAATGTTAGTGACAGTGTGACGTATATCTGTCAGGATTTTCTAATCTGTCTGTTTTCTATCAAAAGTTAGGAGATAGGTGTGGTCTCCTACACCTATTTTCATGTTCAGCCTGCAGGAAACACTCAGTGACCCGTTAGCATCAGAAATAATCAATAAAAATGGGTTTCAGTGTTCCACACCTTTAAATAAATCTTACCAGGCTTTAGATCGCCCATCACTCCACATTCTTTACTAATTTTACCTCATTTACTGTGCAGAGATTTGGGATAATAACCTCACTGGTTATTCTTCAGAAAAAGCTGGTTGGGATCATTCATAAAGTGGGTTATAAGGATCACACACATTCCCTACTTTCACAACATGGAATATTAAAGTTTACAGATCTTATGGAAAATCAGACGGCACATAGAGCTGAAAATAATTAGCCACCGGGACCAATTCAAAACGTGTTCACTGACAGAGAAGGTGCATATCGTTTAAGCGGTTGTAGTCCACTTAAAATCCGTAAGTGGCGTACCAAGGAGGAGATTCTGTGTTTCTGTGTGAGGTGGAGCTTTGGAACAGTTTGAGTGTGGATTTGAAGAGGTGTCTGGACATAAAGCAGCTCAAACGGGAGCATAAAGGAATGGTTGACAGGAGGCAGGAAGATCAAGAGACTGGTTTGGTTCATCAGTATCATGTCAAGTGTTTGATTTCGAGATGAAAACAAAACGATCAGGCTGGAGGAGTTCTGATCCGTGGAAAAGGGGTGGGAGTTTATAGGTGGCGGCACAACGATGTAGATGTGGAAACCCCTTTAGTGATGGGAATTCCGGCTCTTTTTAGAGAGCCGGCTCTTCCGGCTCCCAAGTGGCTCCTCAGATTGTCTGTTGGGTAGAGTACACTTATCACCAAAATGATGCAAAACTAAAATGATTTACTAATGTAAAAAAAATGCAATATATCAAATATTTATCATATCTGTGGATTTAATAACTGAACACTTTAAGAAATCTCCACTTTCCGACTGCTGGCGCTCATTTTCTCACCGTCTTCGTTGCACTCTCCTCCCTCTCGCCTTTTTCCTCCTCCTCTCCTCTCGTCTCCCTCCGCCCGCATGTGCTCTGCTGTGTGTCTGAGTCTGATCCTCCCTCTTCCCCGCCCCTACTGCTCTGTGTGTGGACAGTCTGGACACGCAGTTACACATGTTGACCAATCGCCTGCAGCTTTCACCAAGGCAGGGGGGGGGCACGGCTCCCAATGACGAGCCGGCTCCCGTCGTTCACCTCAAAGAGCCGGCTCGTTCGCGACGGACACATCACTACGTTATTGTTCTGCTTGTGGTTTTGGTCCTTTTCACTCACCTTGTGCTGCGTGTTCGAAATCAGACACAAAAATAAAAGATGTCAATTATTTTCCTGGTTTCCCGCCTCGGCATTCCGGGCGTACCACGTGAAGCACCTGGATGTCTACATGTGCCAGGGCGTTTTTCTCTACCAACAGGTGCAACTACAAATATCCTACAAGGAAGACATCTTGATTTCAAAGTGTGGAGGGCAGCAAAAAGGACCGGAGCGGTGGCGCAGCCATCGATCCAGCCATGGACGTAATTTTCACTTTAGAAGTGGGGGGGACACGGGAGGGGGGGGGGGGTATCTTTACAGTATGCTCTAATGGGAAACAGGCTTCAACACAAACAGTTGTTTTCCGCTTGGTCCTAGAGCTCAGCCAGTGTCAATTTAATATAAAGTAATATTGCTTCTGGATGGTAAAAAGTGCAGGGGTCAAAACTTGACTTTGGAAAAAGTGTGTGTGTGTGTGGGGGGGGGGGGGATGTCCCCCCCCCCCAAAAAAAAAATTACGTCCATGGATCCAGCAATAGGCCTCGTTTAAATAAACTTCCACCTCATTTCAGGAATAATTAAAAAACTATTTATTTAAATTTACTGTATAATTATGAAACACTCACAAGTAACCTGTTCTAACCTTCTAACACACCAGCATGGGTCTAAGGTTTTATTTTTGATGAAAATCAGAGCAGAAGCATGCATTAATCATAAATCATCTCCATTTGATAAACAACCTTTTTAATAATCCAACTAGACGGGACTTTTGAAAGCTCGAGCATGCTGACCACGTTCTGTTAATCTGAACCTACCTGTAGATCCAGGGCAGCAGCAGGAGGACAGGGATGAAGACGTACTTCCACCACTTCACCTTCTTCCACGAAGGCAGCTCCATGACGTTCCCAGCCTGAAAGTCCTGGCCCAGCGCTGCTGCTCTGGGTCAGATCTTCATTTAGCTGTTTGTAAAAGGAAGTTGGCTTTCCTCCAACGTGAGTCGAGGTTTCCTCAGAGCCATAAAACAGCCCAGTTTTTTACTTCCCTTAAAGCAGAGCGTGACGTTTTCTCATCACTGTAGGTTTCTGTTGGTCATCAGGTGGATGTTTTTGTTTCTAATCCGATGGATTATTCTTTAGTTATGCTTTGAACTATCTGGATTTGCTTCACTGTAATCAATCACCTGATATAAGAATCACCTGGTGATGTTTCTCTCAGCCAATCAGACGGCTGCAGAAAGAACCAGTGAGGTCTGGGTTCTGGATGGGAGGAGCAGACCTGGAACACCTTTGGTTTGCTGCCACCTTGCCTGCTTCCAGAAGAACCAAACTCCTCACTTTTGTCTGAATCAGAAGTTTTGCCTTGACTCTAACTTTTATTTTCTCATCAAACAAAATAAACTGATAGTTTTTGCCTTTTTCAAACGTGACTGTGTTTCTGAACCTGTGTGGTGAACATTGACATTTGACAGTGTTTGTGATGAAATATTTGTTCTCTAATGAATAAAAGCCTTGAAGCCTCGATAACTCAGAGGCCGTGCCATTTTAAATGCTATTAGTGATGCCAACACTCAAGCTTGAACATCTCACTAGTTTTGGTCTCGTTCTTCTATGCCTCCGTGTTCTTCAGGTTATCCAGGGCAGGGGCATGAGGGCACCAGGTCTGACAAAGAAACTCAGACTTCCTCATCCTCAGAGAGGAATTAGAAACCTTCCTGGGAGTTCTGGGTCTACGTCTCCTCCAACGTCTGGAGGGAGACAACCTGGGGAAGTAAAAAGGTCTCAGGTGACCCACGTCTGTGGGGGTGGGGGTCGCTGGAGTTTTTGACAGTTAAAATTGCGCCCACATTTTCAAAGTTAAACACATTTCTTTTAACAACGGTAGTTTCTGCTTCAGCCCTCTCCCCCCTCCCCCCTCCCCCTGCGCAGCAGCCGCTAACTCACTGATGCGCCTGCAGCCTCTCGGAGTTCCTGCTGCTCTAAACATTAAAATAATTATTTCATTTTCTGTTCCTCACTTCTGATTACCTTCAATGGTGTCTGTTTGTTGCAACCAGCAGGTACAAAAACTAACTTGTTTTTATTTGACTGTTTTTCTGTCCTGCCTGTTTATTATCTTCCTGCATCTCCTCTCAATCCTAAAGAGAAACTGCTACCTGGCTTCATATATATTCACCCTATGAGTGACCTTTGAACTGCAGTTCTAAAAGATCTACCGACCGCAGAAACAGCGGAGTGCTCGCCGGCCACATCGGTGAGGTGCGTCTCTTTCTGCAGGTCTAGAAGCCGACTCGTGTTCATTATTGTTTATTTTTGTGACGTGAGTAAAATGAGTGAAATGCAACTACTCTACACCCTAGACTGGTTTCCATACCTGCATTCACATCATTACAGTCACTCCTGCAGATGCAAAGACTTGACCAGTCACAACAACCGCACAATGACCGTGTCACTTAGCTGCTGTTTGATTACTTTTGTTCCAGTTTTAAAACTTTATTTTTTAAACTTTGAATCAGTTCCTGGGTAGTACTGGTTTTGTTTTAATTGTCCTCGGGGAGGATTCTGTAGATGAGGTCATAGTTTTAAGGTGTACCTGAAGCCTTTATGTGGGCCAGAAGGGTCAGGTGGATCTGAAATTACAAAGAGGTAAATCCCAACTGAATACAGCGTGTGTGTGTTCCTGGTAAACTACCAATAACGAGCCCAGAGCTAACATGTTTCCGGAAAAGTGCTTATGGCACATCGATGACGATGATACAGATCATAATGCTACATTCGTTATATGCAGAGGATTCGGAGCTGCAGATGATCTAGGCCAGCGGTGTCAAACTCATTTTAGCTCAGGGGTCACATCGAGGGAAATCTAGTCCCAAGTGGGCCGGACCGGTAAATTAAAACCAACTTCAGATTGTTTTCTTTGTTTTAATACAATCAATATAAAACAAGGCTGGAGCCTGAGGACAGCGTAGTACAAGTACAACACCTGAAGTGTACTTGAAAATTTGAAAAAACTAAAAAAAATCAATAAATAAATAAACATTGCTTAGTGATTCAAAGAGCTTACAGATCACATGGCTACATCAGTTTCATGCAGCACTTAAAGTATATTTGACTCATTTTACTTTACATCTTTTAGCTTTCACCGGCACATCAACATCAGGAGTCACATCCTGAGTGGCGGCCAACTTCAGGATGGGATTCAAGTTCTTGTGTGAGCCTTGAGCGCAGCTTTGTTTTAGTTATACTCATTACAGAGAAAGCTAAGTTTATTTTCACTCTACATTGTAAACAATGAAAATAAAGTTTACACAACCGTCTCGCGGGCCGGATTTAACCAGTTTGCGGGCCGGATCTGGCCCGCGGGCCGTATGTTTGACACCCCTGATCTAGGCGACTCAACATGTGAGTGTAATGTATAATCTTGGGTTTCACACACAGATAGGACAAACACTTGTGTTCCTGTTTGTGTTAAAAGTCTCTAACAGCACTGTGATAACAGAACCACGACTGTTACTGCTCCACTTCAGGTGAGGCACAACACCTGGTGGATGCTGGATGCCATGTTCTGTTACTGTTATGGATTAGCACGTGCACAGCTGTGAGAGTGTGTGGATGAAGGGGTTTCTGAATGTGTTTTCGAAGGTTAAAGAACAGAAAAGGCGATTTTGTTTGAGTTTAGATCAAATTTGCTGAATGAATTTTGTTTTTTATATTCAGTTTTAAGGCTCATTTCAGGTCATTTTACCAAGCAGACATTTGCATTATTCCTAATTATCAAGGTAATCGGGTAAGCTTTGCTTGTACCAGTAACCCATGAGTGCTTGAGTAAATCATTGCATGCCTTGTCAGCAAATGAAACCTTTACTTTAGTGCAGGGGTGTGAATGTGGAGATGGATGCCGTGTCTGTGGGTCTAAATTTCAGAGAGTTTTGTGGAAATAGGTTTATAGACAACTGGCACGCTGATTCTAGTGTTTCTTGTTGACATGCTGCGTTTTGCTCACCGTGGGAAGGATCAAGTCGGCGACACTTGCTGCCCATAACAGAGAAGGGACTTGAACGCTACTAGCTGAAGCAGCGCCTGTGGACTCCCTGTTACTTCCAATCAAGCTAGTGGGGAGGACCGAGCCGAGGATCTATGCTTTTGCTTTGCTGATGAACAAAGGACACTTGTCCACAAAAAGCCCTCCTCAAGCAGGAGACCTCCAACGACGACATGGATGCTGACCTTGTTCTTTTCGTTTGATTCTCTTATCATAAAACTACAATCAGGACTTTGATAGATGCATTGTTGAGTCTCAAGCCATTGCTTCCTTTTAAAGTGAATGGGTTTTGGTTTTTATGGACTCTACACTGTTTCATTACATCTTCACTGAGGCTAATTATTCGTTATTCATCACACTTGTCACCTGCTCATTTTCATGTGTTTTTGTTGTTTTGTGTGTTTTTATTTTGATGATTGATGAGGACATGAATGTCAACAATGTCCTGGGGCTGGCCTCGCATGCTCGCTCTGTGCTGCGTGCTCTTCCCGTGGGTCGGGGAGGACATGCAGGAATTTTCCCTGTTTAAGCACAGCGGACAGGTTTTTATCTCCTTACAGGGTTTGCATGCAATATATTCGTGAATTGATGAGTTCAGTTAATGGTAGTCATGTTTCATGTTTTGTCCATCCATCCATTTTCATCTGCTTATCCGGAGTCGGGTCGCGGGGGCAGTAGCCTAAGGTGAGAGTCCCAGACTTCCCTCTCCCCAGCCACTTGGGCCAGCTCCTCCGGGGGAATTCCAAAGCGTTCCCTGGCCAGGTGAGGGACATAGTCCCTCCAGCGTGTCCTGGGTCTTCACTTGGGTCTCCTCCCGGTTGGACGTGCCCGGAAAACCTCACCAGGGAGGTGTCCAGGAGGCATCCTGACCAGATGCCTGAGCCACCTCAACTGGCTCCTCTTGGTGTGAAGGAGCAGCGGGTCTACTCCGAGCCCCTCCAGAATGACCGAGCTTCTCACCCTATCTCTAAGGGAGAGCCCAGCCGCTCTTCAGAGAAAACTCATTTCGGCCGCTTGTATCCGTGATCTCGTTCTTTCGGTCACTACCCAAAGCTCGTGACCATAGGTGAGGGTAGGAACGTAGATCGACCGGTAAATGGAGAACTTCACCTTCTGACTCAGCTCTCTCCCTTCACCACGACAGACCGGTACAACGCCCGCATCACTGCAGACGCAGCACCAATCCACCTATCGATCTCACGCTCCAGCTTTCCCTCACTCGTGAACAAGACCCCGAGATACTTAAACTCCTCCACTTGGGGCAGGACCTCATCCCTGACCCGGAGAAGACGTTCTACCCTTTTCCGAATCACAGTTGTTCGTTATCTCATCTGTAAACTCATCAAGTTTGCTTTTTCAGTTACTTAATCATTATACATTACACATATTCTGGCACATCATCCCGTGTCTTGGTGTGTGTATTCCCTCATTCATTTTCGGTTCAAGGTCATATGGTACACCCTTTTGTTTCCATTTTCAGTCATGTTGTTCCATTATCATTATCTACTATTCATTTATTCTGTAACTCAGTTAAGCATTCATTTATTGATATACACTACAATGTTTAATCATTTACGACGATAGTGTATGGTGGTCTAAACCACCACGGACTGTAGTGGCCGTAAAGGTCAAGAGGTCACCTGTATCTGTGTTTCCACCAGCTCCTTTGTGCAGTCGGTTGCTGAGCTAAGGAACAAGAACTGTTTATCAAAGCCCAGAACAGTTGGTTTTGGGAATGAGTAGAGCAAAGTGACCTGAAGTCAGGTGGGCCTGACCCGCGGTCTGGTCTCTAAAGCCACTGTTCACGTGTTGGTTTTTCCAGGGTCTGCAAAGGAATAGTTTGTGCAGTTTATTCCGAGCAAAGCTAAAGTCCGTCTGATTATGTAAACTGTTTATCAGGAAAGCTAACGACCAGTGGCCCAGACTTTTAAATACAACTGCCAAGTCAACAAAGTCAAATCTGTTATCAGGTGGAAAAGTCCAACTTAATGTCAGAGACTCGGCGCGCTCGTTAGGCTGTCTTGTTTGAGCCACACACTGCCCTGTTTACAGTTTTTTTCGATTGCTAAAACTCAAAAAGCAAAAATGAGGCACGAATTTCACAACCTTCAGTTCCCAATCGCCTGACTCAGTTTATCAC